CCGGAATTCCCAGCTTATTTCTCAAGCAAATCTCAATATATGAATTATAGGAGTTCTGTCTACAAATAAGAATTAATGGCAGGAGCACAGCCACTCATAGAAAATTAAACTGAAAAAATTGAATGGCATAATGAAGTGATGTGTAATAACATGAGCTACCGATGGCACTTTTTGCTCCCGATATCAGCAGATCGTTTGTAACCACAACAGGAATTGCGTGCAATCACAAATCTGTTGATACGATGGGTCGCATTTAGAAAAGGACGCTTTTTCAAGCTTTTTCGTTCCGATGCAGAACAACAGTGACAAAGAGTTTTCCCGGATAAAATCTAATCAATTCGAGTGCATATTACAAAAACGCCTGCTCCCCAAAGTTGATTATGCGGCGTGGATTCAAATTTCAAATCAAACCAAAGACCATTCCCGACTACTTATGTAAGTAAAACTTTCATGGGTAGTAACAGATCTGCATTACTCATAACTCAACGAACTAATGACCCGCTTATGAAGTAATTCTTGGCAAAAATTTGTCAGAAACTAAAAATTGCAGTAATTCGCTGCTTCGTCATCTTATAGAATCAAAAAAAAAAATCGGCGGCCCCTCACATGCTACGAAAACTTTCAACTGAACAACTGCTAGAAACTTAAAACGAAAAAACAATTTATCAAATCTATCTTCTGATCCTGGAGAAAATCAACAGTGACGCGATAGATGAACTGACAGACAATCGATTCTGTCGATCACGTTTTATTGCGCTAAGATGGTGTCAGTGAGCAGCGCAATGTAAACATGGCGTAAATCAATTTGCCTCCAAACAACCAGTCATTTTCTCTAAGAATTTTGATTCGCATCTTCTGCCGTAATTTGCTGACCACTCGAGAACGAGGAGCCTCTTTCATAACCAGATCATATGACAGAAGCAAAACTATCCACGAAAAAAGTGATGAAATAGCAAGACTTTTCCAATGACTCATAAATCAAATGGAATACCTCCTATAAAGACGGGCAGCAGAATAAAAACCAGTGAATCGGTAGGTTTTCGAGATGAACTATTTTATTTCTTATGAACAAAGAAATCGCCTCTGATCTCCAAACGCAACACTGAAAATTTTAGAAACCACTAATACTGATCTTAATTCAAAAAAGATCCAGACATTTGCAACATACACGAAAAAACTGGAGGGTTAAGTGTCCTTAACTTCATTAC